TTGCTGTATCAAGACAGTTTTCTTTGTCAGGACCAGAAATTCAGGTGATGCCCCACAATATTTGTGTTGGTAGCTGACATGACGGGGTCAAGTGAAGACTGCCCCAGTGATACAGAGCTGCTGTAAGATCCAGCAGGAGCTCACTAAGTGGAACCTTAATAAACCCCTGCCTTGGGCTGCAACACAGACGTGCCCAGGACACGCTGCCCTCAGCATGTGGCTGTGACACCTCCCAGCACTGTGGTCACCTGCGGGTTCTCTGTGTCATCCTCTAGTCGTGGGGAGATAAAGTCCATGGTTGCCTGAGGCACCCTGGCTTGACGTTGTCACTCGTGTGTGCACTGACTGCTCTGCTCTTTGTGGTTCTTTCAGATTTTTGATGGCAGAAAGCCCACTGGAGGGAAACTGGAGGTAAAAGTGAGACTCAGGGAGCCCCTCAGTGGACAAGATCTTCAAACAGTTACAGAAAACTGGCTGGTCCTTGAACATTAGTTCTCCCTGAGGTAGGAACGCTGCATCTAACGAGGGGCTGACAGAACTTGACAGGGTACAGAGAAACTCTGCTTGAATAATGTCTTTTGTTGACATTGACCTGATTACATTGCTCTGGCTTTGGGATCGTTTCTCTTTGTAGGGGTGAGTTGACACAGTTTCAGAAATGAGGTTACCCAGTCTCCGATCCGCTTGTGTGTCAAAGATGTTATTTCACAATCACTTGCAACACAGGGAGAGCTGCTAGCATCACCTTTAATTAGAATGGTATTTAGAAAATAAGGTTGTTGAGTCCTTTCTAGGAGAGAGGGTGCTTTCTGTCCATCCCTGTTGTTAGCAAAATCCTTTCAGAGTTGGCAGGGACCTTTCTTTCCCTACCAGAAGCTAGAGAGGGGATTTGTTTGTCCCATGAAAGTCTGTTTGACTTCATCTGAAAGGGAAGCTATTGGAGACAGGCTTTTTTCTGGATACTGGAGACTTCTGGGGATGGAGAAACTGCACAGCTGAATAGAGGTTACCCAAAGAGCTGTGCCTGGTGCCCACTGTGATCAGATACAGAAGAGGAACTGTGAGCTGCCAAAGTGATTGCATACTAAAAGGATGGGAAAGAGGGAGGCTGCTGCTTCTTGCCAGCCTCTACGGAAACTGCTTGGTTTGGCAGCTTGTCTTCCTTTCTCATACTCTGCTGTTCAGGTATCACAAATTCTCCCTTCTTAAAACAAACCCAAAGCAAATTAATGCCCCCAAATTGTGGTGTCTTTTTTTAAGCCATTTGCTACATGAAGTTACTGAAGGATAAACACCAGCAGTGCCCCTGCCTGTGGAGTCTCTAACTCGGCCCACTTCTCAGTATGTGTCTGATGGTTGAAGGAAATTCAGAGTAGTTGGACACAATCACTGAAACCCTGAAACTTCAGGTCCTCACTTCTCCCATGGCCTGTGTTGATAAACCACAGAGGACAGTCGGTTCCCCCTTCAGTATCCTGCAATCATCTGCAGTCATAGAGTGCTCCCCTATGGGCATCAGCTTCACAGCCACATCACCTTTCTGCCACACTTTGCTTCCCAATTGGATTAGGGTTTCCAGACCAAGAGGTCTTGTTTCAGTGCATGAGTCCGAATTTGTAGCACCAAAGGGACTCTTTGCCTGGGGATTTCTGCCTTGCAGCCGAGGAGGTCAGTGAGCTGCCTGTGAGCTTCAGAGTTCTCTGAAGGGACACATTTGATGGCTGTATCTGCAAGACCAAGTGACTGGACACCTAAGCATTTCCAGTCACTAGAGCTTAATAATACTGCTTCATTGATTTTTCTAGTTGACCATCCAGAAAATGAATGTCAGCATTTCACATCTAATGTGACCTTGAGTTGTGAACATTTGGTAAGTGCTGCATCAAGTAATTCTGTTGTTTTTCCCTTGTTTTTTCCCCAGCTCCACTGGCAAGTTAAAAGATGTGGGATGAACGTCTGCAGAGAGATGCTGCTAGCTGCAAGCACCAAAGATGTTAAACGAATGCACTACTGAACCTAATGTCTATTTTGATAACAGCCATAGTGCTTATTAATAACGTCAAGGCAGATGTAAGGCTCTGGGAGTTTGCTGCTGCAGGGGATTGTCACTAGTCTACACAAAATAGACAGAATTGCCTTAACGTGGGACTACTAATGTAGCACCAGGATGAATGTTACACTAACTATGCATAGTGGTGTGGGAAGAGTTTAGCCCCTTCACAATTCCCTGAGGCAGTGCAAGAACTTTTTGGTCAAGTCACAGGTAAGACCTTTACCGGAATTCATTTTTTCCAGTGTTGTGGTACAGCCAACGGTCTGCTACTGCTTCTTCTGTTTTCTTATCGAGACCTCTTTGATTTAGCTCTTTTCATTTCCTAAAATAGAGGAGAGGGAACTCAGGCAGCGGGTCCCTCCGTGTGTGCCACTGCAGCACGAGCTCAGTGGGATGCTGCTGTTGAGGAGGAAGGAATGCCAGGCTCCATAGCAGCAGGTGTTTATAGATGTACATTCTTGTTCTGGCTCCCAGCTGTCTGCCCTGCATGGTCAGTGCAGCCCTGGTACTGTGCCTTCATCCTTTTTCTTTTTAAATGTAAAAAGGAGGGGAAGAGAAAACTAAGTAAGCTCTGACTGTGCTGCTTCCCAAACGTTCCTTGTATTTGTACAGAAATAGGCTTTTACAGTTCTTCCAGGTGCTGGGGAAAACAGCCACTCTTTGTCATGTAGAAAACGGGATTAAGACTATTTTCAGGAATGCTTCTGATCAGCAGCATACAACAAAATGGTACCAAATACGTTTGTGTTTTTAAATCTCTGTGAGCTCAGAGAAAGGACTGATCTCAGAGGAGAGGATGTGCCTGCGCTGGGGGGTCGGAGCCTTTCCTGCACCAGCTCTTTAGGTAGGGCAGGGCATAGCCAGCAGGGTCCAGGCGGGTAAGAGTCAGGCAGCGCTGCCTCTGTCTTCTGAGCAGATGAAGACAATACAGTGTTTAGTTTTTAATTTCAATAAATTTAATATACAAAACTACATGTTGAAAATAAAAATATAATATGCAGTTTTTTGCAGTGTTAACTAACTGAATTTTAAAAGTACAATTCTTTTTTCTCTAAAACAAGTACTCATTTCTTAACAACATGGTATTTAAGGTCATTTCAAAGGCTATGGTTGAAGCAAACATGTCAGTCACCAGTTGATAGTGTTTTGCACAAACATAATCCAAACCTAAAAGACTTCTGGGGCAAAGGAAGAGAAGAGAAATGATTTTTCACCTCTTTTACCGCATTATTAAGCGTAACAATGCAACTCAAGGAACTGGAAAGCTGCTGCTGTGGCAAAGCTGGAGAGCAGGCTCTGGAAGGAAGATGGGTAATTTTAGTTTATGGAGTGCTCTTCCAGGAACCAAACCTTGCCTACACTGTGTAGTGTGTCCCAACGTGTGCAAAACCAGTGTGCAGAGACGAGTTGGGAAGTAACCTCAGTCCTGCTCCGCTGCACAAATCCATACGGAGGGTAGGGATTGTGTGAGTTTGGGCTTTGTCCAGTGTGAAACGTGAAGTGAGCTGCACTGAGCCAGCCACCTCCTCCCCAGCACGGGGTCAGGTCTTGCTCTGATGCCACACTTACCCTTCTAAGTGTAGTAGTAGTAGTAGTGTGCTACCTATTGCTGCCCAGCTTTTGTTTCTGGTGCTGGACCCCAGTTCTTGGGCCACCTTCTCCCACTGCTGGCTGGGGCCAGCTGTCATTTGCCATCCTGGGTTTGCCAGATTGGCTTTGTTTAAAAAGCAGTAGCCATTTATTCACAAGTACATTCTGTACACACACTGTGCTCTATGCATAAACCACACTGCGATGTGGTGTTACCTTTTCCTTTGCCCAGCTAATCCTGTGTAGTGGTTAAAGCATCAGCCTCACAGTAGCCTCACGCTTCCCTTTGTGTATGAACGGGCACCTGCGTTACGCATGTACAGCAAACCCAAAGTAACCCCTGCTGCATCCACCAGAACTGACTGTGAGTAGGGACAGTGCAAGGTCTGAGATCCTGTGTTCACCAGAAATGAGCACCTCTCTTCCCAAATCAACTTTCAGACAGGAGGAGAGACCTTCGTCCCCCTTCCGACAGGGACCCAAACCAGCTGCTCCACATGGCTATGGCTAAACAGACCAAAACACCCAAACCCTTTCTCCTACGTTCAGCTCTTGCCACGGGTGAGCAGCTTCCCACTGAGAATGTGGAAACAGGATCTGTCTCTGA